GATCTAACTTAGATAAGGTATTTGGTGGTACATTAGTTCACTTTTAGGAATTCAACTCCGGGTTGTATTCAGTATATCCAAATGAATTTTAGTCGTCCTTCTGAGAAAATAAAAAAGTTGTTTTCAAATAACGTTTTTTCTTATTTCAAGAAAGGATTTGAATGGTCATATTTAATAGAGACAGCTGGAGTTAAAAAAGTTTATTATTCTGAAACAGACATACAGACACACATGGCTGGTTTGTGCCATTTTTCAAGGACGCCTTGTAGTCCGAAGGTGCAGGTCATACAGAGTATCGTAGCAAGAATTGCACGAAATAATTCCGTTGCTTTAGTGACACCAATTCCTTGATAGTCTCTTTGGAAATGTTGACTATTTGTTCATTAGTTGGCATTTAGCCATCTGGTGGGATTCATTTCTTAATGAACTTTGGATATGTGCTGTAGTTAGTTCATGCATTCAAATAACATTAAACAAACTTATGCTACAATTATTATTATTAGTTCACTGATTTATTAGAAACACCGGTAAGATAAAAGAGCTAAAAATAGTACCATAGATCAAAAGCATAGATTACTGGTAAGCTCACGAACAAAACTAGTTCATTGAACATAATTTGAGTGGATCCATATTGAACCGTTCAGGAAGCCCGAAATTGATTTGCAATTATGCAGATTTAAGAAAATAAGAGATTTTCATTGCTGCGGAATGATTTTACACTTTTGCGAATAGGGTTCGATATTTTATTTTGAATTGATTGATTGTTGTAACAAGCAGCAGTCTGAAAAGGTAATGGATAATATTGGGACCTTTTTCATGTGGAATTTTAATTCGAATGATACTTGAGGACAATAATTATTTTGAAACTCAAAGTTGGGAGGAAACATTTGCGTTTTGATGACCTCTTAATCGAATCACTCTGATAGACAAGTTATCTGGACATCATTTATTGATTACTTATCCACTATAAAAACGCTGTAACGTTTTCGAAATCTGTAAATAAGTTAACAATAAAAGTAGAAAATCATGCTTTTCACACTTTTCTTTGGCAAATGCAAATGATCTTTTGGTTCTCTGCTGCATGTAAAAATGAATCTTAATTAACTTTATTCCTTTCCATTAGGTAAATTTGTGTTATGTAGAAAAAAAACCCACGATAAACTACTTCAAGTCGAATATTCGCTTTGAATATCTGTTGAGGAATGTTAGGGCTCACTGTCGTGCTTTGGATGCTGAGAAAACTTCACTAAAGAAGAAATTCATTACACTGTGCCTTTGATGGCTCGGTTTTGTTCATCGTATGCTCACCAACTGTTCAAACCATTTTCATCTGTTTTTTGTAAAAGGATACGCGAATTAAATTCAATATTGGAGTATCATCTGGTTGGCGGTTATGGAGAAAATAACCTCATAGTTAGCTTTCGTCGGTGTTTTGGCCTTCCCGGTTGATGCACATAAGATGAGTTTTTTTATTTCGTAAAGAGAGTGAATGCCTCACAGTAATAAAAGGAAAACCTTATTATCAGCCTGTTTAAATCCTGTGCTCTATAGATATAAAGACTGAAACCAACAAAAATGTATTCATTTCTAGCAGTTCCCTCTAATCGTACCAGGTTCTCATTCTTGGGTTTCTTTTCCACGTTGAAAACTCCATATACAAACAGATATACATATACATCAAATTAACGTTAGAGAAACTCGTAAAGTTACTGTTTTGTTTTAAGTCACTGGCGTTAATTTACAAACTGTCGTGGGGTTGTGCAACCCACCAAGGTGAATTCATCAAAGAGAATCGATGTTCCATCACTGCAAGAAACTTTGAGTACTGTTGGCCTGATCACATAATACTATTCAGTAACTCGTTTCGTCGGAATGTTTTGATAAATCTCCAATGGTTCTTGGAAATTTCGGGTTTATAGTATTCTCGTTCTCAAAACTTTGATGTCCCTTTCTCATTCATGGTTGTAATGCACGTATGTTCTCGATATTTCAGTTTCGAGAGGCTATTTAGTTGAAATTTGATCTATATTTAATGTTTGTAGACACCTAAAGAAGGAATTGTATGGCTTGCTTCTTGCTGGTTAATCTTACCAGTTTACACTCCGCCTCGAAGTTCGTCCATCGAATTGGTATTTGTCTAAGTCTACTGTGACGTCTCAGTGTAATTCACAACTATTCTTCGGTGTTATATTTATTTAAGCACATCTGCTTTGTGTCAATGGTTCTTTCACTGTCTGCAAGGCGGTTCTACAAAATATAAAGCACACCAATCTGCTAGATGTCCTGATTTTCCATTGGCTTAGCATTGACCAATAAAATAAGATGACCTTGAAACAAATAATTACCGTAATCTAACGCCCAATCTGAAATTATGAAGTGTTTGTGTGATTTGCAACGAGCGTGCTCTATCCATGATTGTCAAATTGTCCACTAATGATTGGGTGAGTGTTTGATTCGCCAAGCTATTGGTATATGTCTACTTTGATATACCCATTGATCTACTGGTAGACAGAGCACAGCGATATTCCGTTCCAAGGTAAGGGTTACTTTAATTTAATTGCTGTGCAAATGTATCATTATTTTCTTGGCTTATGCTTTCCTTAAGGTGCGTTAGTTTGTTCATTGAGTAGTACATCGATTAAGCAGATTCATGAATAACTTTGGCCTTTTCACTAACTTTTCGAAAATCTTATAATCAGATCCGGTTGTATTGTGGCTAAAGTTGTACGTGTTCTCAACTCTGTCAGAGGCTATACTTGAATCATTCGAAAAGTTCAGTTAAGGCTTTTGTTACCAGTTGTATATATACAATTAATTCGGACACGTAAATACAACTTATGATGAACGTCTGCGTGAGATGTATATCAGATGCGCGGTTTGCACATTTTCAGCTGTTGCTATTCATCTCAGCTTCACGATAGACATGTCAATGGTGACCTGCTTCCTGTGATGTAAAAAGACGTTAGCAGACGGACATTTTGAAGGCTTCTGGACCTGTAGTGTACAGATGTTTAGTGATGTGAAAGATAAATGTTATTTTACCAAAGAATTGCATCCAGCTTAATTCTGATGGATGAATGAGGATACGCACAGGTGTGAATGCGCCCTGTGTCCGGCAACTTTGTACTGATGAAAACCACCTAAATTTTGCTGTAAAATCGTTGGATTTGTTTACTTAATTCATCTGTTATTCTATGAAAGTTCGCTTTCCTTGTAAAAGATTATCTTAGAACTTGTTTGACTATTCTTGCTGGAAAGCGCAGAAATATAGTTTCTCCGCTTAGAAAAATATACAATTCGATTTAATTAATTGAGATGATCCTGTTGCGATGAAAATTAATCTACCACTAGTCACCGATCAAAAGGCTTTTCACCTTATATTACGTGAAAGTAACAAGGGTGAAACCAACCAGTTAGATATTTCTAATGTGTCCAAATTGTGCCCTGAGACCTATTTGGGTTGAGGAGCACAAAATCCATCCTACATGATGTCTGAAATGAAGGGCATCTGACCCAATTAATCGGTCAAAGTAGATCGTTATTAGGATTTTCGTATCCTTCCTTTCAATTTCTTTGCCGTTTGGCATGATTTGTTCATTGTCTCAAATTTCTATCTGGTTTTCTGTAGTCAAAGATAATCAGACGATAAAATGAACCTTTTATCTGCAAACTTGAACCTAAGAGTGCAAAATTTTTCTCGAAAACAGAGTATGCACATGTTTCAAACAGAAGATTAATTTCAAGTTTTTTTATTCGTGCACCTGTCAATCTACGAGATAAAAAACATACTGATAGATTGATCGCTGGAATAAGTGAAGAGCATTCGTAAGCAGTTAGGCGAGGAAAGGATGGCCTGAATAGTCAACGGATGTAGGAACCGAAATAATGCATTTGATTGCATAAATATTTCACCATGCACCGCTATTATTATGGATTTGTTGACTTAGTTTACACATGTTCATATTATTTCCAAGCTGACGAACTATCCTCAACCGTAGACTACATTACTTCTGATTGTTCCTGAAAGACTCCAATTCATTCATTAAGCATCACGCCGCAGGGTTTAACCTGAAATGGTGTTGTTCTCCACTTAAGTGATTGGCCTATTTTCATTGCGTTGCCAAAGATTCATTTTTAATAAAATAAATGACGGTGTAGAGGCACCTCTCTCTTTCTGTATATATATATATCACTGAGGAATGACTAACGCTATACTCAATTTAAACTTACCCCCAATTCCAAAGGTCTCTTATTGTCATACTTCATAAGGTGAATCATCACAATGGTACAACAGTTATGGAATTTTGTTCATACGGCTGCAACAAGTAGAGCAAATTTGAACCACCGGTAGGAGGAGACGGTGATAGAGGATGCACAGAAGTGTTATGAGAAAGAAATTATTGCAAGATATGACCATCATATAAAGTATGGATGAGATTATTTTTAAGGACCAAAGGTCTTCGTGTATAGAAACGCAGTGCAAAAGACAATAAATCTTGTGGGACGTCGGAACTCACTGATAATAACTTACCCGATAAAAATGAAGCAAACTTGAACGGTTTCTGGAAGGCACTTGTCCGTACGTAGTAAACCATGACAATATTCAGTGTCTAGGGGTTTTTACTGGGACCTAGTCACACCGAACCCACAGGAATGCTTTGAAATCATTAGGGAATAATGCTCTGATAAACCAGTGACGAAAACCAGTATTCGATTATCAAATTCTCATTTTGATCAGACCCTTAATCCCTTGTTCTACTTACTCTTAAGTTTCAAAAGTCCGAGGATTTGTATTTGATTGCAGCACTTCTGGTACTTCCGTAAAGTGGCCACGTTTGTTTACATTTAAGCAAGCAACATAGTACCATCGAGTGCTGAAAACATCCTTTATGCAATTATGAATACTAAATTCAAAACATTGGTGCTATTAGGTCAGTAAAATTGTAGATTGAAAGTTGAATTTCGGTTTGTTTTTACTTTTCATTGTTGTAGCACTATCTATGAGCTCAAAACCACTCAGTGAATACAATGGACCCGATCCTTACGAATTGTTCAATTCTGTGGTTCTCACCGCGTAAGCTTTTTATAGGAAAAACATTTTATTCTTACTCCCGTAGTTCGGATGACATTTTGAAACGATCTTACACTCTACTGTCTACGCCGAGTTCACCTTTGGATGTTATCACCGAATTCACTACAAACAGTCTGTCACAACTGGAACAGGTGTGGTTTTGTGGAAATCAAACCCTAATTTTAAACTGATTTACCTAAACAGACCGTAGAATTTGCCCAACTTAAACAAAATGCATTTAAATCACCCCAAGATGCTGCGTTGATTGTGATTGATATGCAATGGGATTTTATTTGCGGCACACTCCGAACAATTGAATCACCAGCCAAACAGGACGGTGCAAATATCATCTCCAATGTGAACAAAATGCTCAAAATGTCTTTCAAGCAAATCTATATTAGTCAGGATTGGCATCCGGCAAATCACTGTTCATTTTACAACAACCGAACGACCCTTCAACTCAGCCCCAATAGTTTAGTAAGTTAATTTCAATGCGTTGGATTCATGAAAGAAACAATTTGATATTTTTTTGTAGACCGATTTCATTTAGAATCGCAAATATTATTTGATCAACCAAAACATGTAATAGTAAACAAAGTGTAAAATTCAAATAAGTTAAGCTATATCGAAAAACGTTTTTCTTTAATTTGTATATGACAATCCACAACTAGCATGTCTGATTATAAGAGTAATTGGAGCAATGTCATGCCACCGATTCACCGTTAAATATGGCTTGACGTTTTATGAAAAATTAGTCAACCACAATGTACACAATGTATAATCAAAATGATAATGGAACTATATAGTAAAGCAGGTTAAATTTATCCTAATCTGTAGAACAAACAAGATGAACTCGGTTGAAGCGTGTTCACCGTCAATATAAATCTATAATTGTAAATTCAATTTTGTACTATATTATTCCAGTTTTTATGCAATGGGGCCATTGCATCAGGTTCCTGGAGGTTGAATATTTAAATTTCCTCACGGAAAACTGCTTCTACATTTCTGTACACCCCTCCCCCTCGATTAGCTTCTTCACCTTCCAGGATAGAGTCTGTGCGATTGCATACAAAGTAATTGAATAGATACAAACAATATCGATGACCGCTTGTCGTTCAGTAATATTTTTGATTAAGTCTCCAATGAGGGAAAATATCCGGAAGTAAGAGCATTTCCAAAACCGTTAACATTGCCTCTTGTTGAACAAAATAATATAGTATAACAGGTCCGTGAATTTTCATCAGATGTTGGCTGCATGTCAGGGGAAAATGATTTTTTTTCTTTCATTCTGATGGAACTCAGATTACCAAAGCTGAACAAGCTCAAATGTATGACACATTACTCATAATCGGTGCCAATAAGGTTGAAAGGGAACAAAAATTGTGGCCCACACATTGCATTGCGAATACGGAAGGAGCACGGATTCATCCGAAAATAGAGGTAAGTGACGATCAAGAATAAACAGCGTTGGTTCATATTACAACATCGCTGCCGGAAATATTTTGAAAACCATGATTACTGGGTCCAATACATTGTTATTCATATCAAAATAAATGGTTTTTTTATTTTTTCGCAGTGTTCATTCCGAGTCACAGAACATATGTATCAAAAATCTATGATTTTATTTCTTCATTTATTATTCATATGTGAAGAATGAAATGTTCAATAGGAACAGCTTTACTTCACAATTGTACTAAATAATTGCTATTATATAACAGATCAACAATATATCAATAACGAAGTGAATATATGTAACTACAGCAGCACATCATCATGGAGTACCGAAGAAGTAGATTCAGTTTTGCGACGAACTTTGTCTTATACAGAGCAAAGTAAATGAGATTTGAATCACATACCTTTCAGGCTGAGAATGTCTCTAACCGCATCATAATCCTGGAGACAGGGGGTAATATCAGCCGGGTACATACAAGCAGCAAGCTAGCAATTATAGCTGATATTATGTTGTATATAAACAAAATGTGACAACAATGTTGAAAGCCAACTCAAAAGGAAGATATAGAATTCATAAAGACTGGTGTGACGAGAATAATGAGTAGATGCATGAGCGCCAATGTTGGCGACACTCAGCCATATCACTCAGTGTCTCTAACCATCGATGATCATGATCTCGGGGTTCTCAGTCAGGGAGCCTAACGGGACCTATGTGACACAGTCTCCTGTCTAGGATTTTCATACCTTCTTGCCAGGTCTTCGCTTGACCATCCTTGGCTTTATTCCACCTACTACCTGCCTCGGCAAACACCGCTCGCCGTGGAAACCTATCTCGTGACGTGCGTAACACATGTTCCAATCAACGTAATCTATAGAGGTCGACTACTTGCCCCAGTGAACGACCGCGGTTACCTAAAAATCTACGCCTAACCTCAACACTGCTCGTCCGGCTGCCCCACCCGACTCGTGCGATGCGAAGTAGACAGTGGTGTTCAAACACCGACAGCTTATCTTTATCCTATTTTTCTAATGGTCGAGTTGCTGTGTCGTATAACGGAACTGGCCGAACTGCAGCGGCATACAATCGACCCTTCACAGAGAGTCGGATATCGCATCGGCGTTACGGATGTCTCAGGTCCGTAAATGCCAACCGAGCCTTTTATAATTAATTAACTTTTGAATGTGTTGTATTGTATGATATCGAAGCTTTAGCGGGTCATATTCAAGCTTTCAGCCAAATTTTATATTTTCAGTGAATGGAAATCCGCTTATCTTCTATTTACAAACCACGTGGACCGTCCTCTACCTCACGGTTACTCTTAGTGAGCACCAAATTCTCAGACTAAAGCTGGATTGATTGGTTAAGTGATATTACCAAAGACATAGCTGAACAGAAATCCGTCAAATAATCCTTGAATGTGATCATACCTCAACATTGATAAAATCTGTGTTTGGCCGGAAACTTTAAGTGAGGGTTTCGCAGTAGCTTATCTTTCGGGAAAATCCGTCTGCAGAATACTACCAAACATGCTGAGAATTGATCAAAATGATTAACAAAACAATTCAGTTGGACTTATTCTGGACAGATTGACCAAAGAAACCGACATCCTTTTGTCTTTTAACTATATGATGATCGTTATTCCATATACCAGGATTTCCCCATACGTGAGTATCAGCTCATTGGCAGGCAAGTAATCTGTTTAATTTAGAGAAGGCAAATACATTACATTGTCATACAAATAATCAGCTACACTTCAAGAGTTTATCTGTGTTCTGAATAACTGGTTATCGGTCTGATTTCAAACTGTTGATCAAATGCATCATTCCACAAACAATGTTTCAGACATTGTGACAAACAAGTTTATTGATGCGATGTGATTACAATCAAATAACTGTGCAATTAGCGGGAGTAGCATTTTTGTGCATTATAATTATAGCATTTTCAGTGTTTTTGTGGTTATTTCTGGTAGGAGACATGTAGCTTGTCGCACAACAAACAGTTACAGGACTGCATTGGTCTCACATTTTACTTAACTCTGAGAGGGAAAGCCTTAAAGGTAGCGCACTAATTTGTCCTCTTGAACAGGAAAGTGAAGCTCAGTTAAACTCATCAGAACACAGACACTAACAAAAGACGCGTTCAGCTTTTGTCAACCCAGGACAGCTTAAACGTCACTTTGACACAAGAAACCTTATATTGAAATGATCGGTTTTTGGGCACTAGTCAGCGTTCATCCAGTCTGGTGAGATAATGAAACAAACTTCACAGAGATTAAAGAAATAATTTGGTTCATTTAGGTTGTGTATTTCATGGACAGAATTTTTGGGCTTTCTATATTTACCAAGGCGGGCATAGGAGAGAAGAGACTAGCGTTACATTCGTATGTGATGGCCTTGTTAGAGGTATTTTAAGTTGGCAAAAGCTGCTCTGGCCTTTGCATTCCTCCCCAACACCACCTCCGGCTGCGATCAAGCTTCTGAGGTACTTAAAGCTCTCGGCCAATTCCAGTTGGTCACCAGCGAGGGTGGGTTCTCCTGTCAATCTTGTACAAGCACTATGCATTTGAGCGGTGAAAAGCACATACCATACCTGAATACCTCAATCTCCAAGCGGTTTTAAGCGTACTGGAATGCCTGTGTGTTGCCACCCAGTAAGGCGATGTCATTGACATATCCTAAGTTAAAGACTGATCCTTGGGAGGAGTTTAACTCCATCGTTTACTAAAACGAACAAAGCATTCTGTAGAAGATCCTCCATGAAAAATTTAAATAAGAATGGGTATAAACTGCAGCCTTGTCGAACTCCATTGGAGACAGCAAAAGTTGGCGAAAGCTAGCCATAGGCAATAACCTGACCGGAAGTAAAACGGTACAACATTTTAAGGATAGACACATGCTTCTCAGGTACTCCATTCTTCAATAAACAGTTCCAAAGTGTGGTCCTATCGACAGAGTCGAAGCCCGCGCCGATTTCTTAGAGCACAAGGATTGTTGGTGCACTCACGACAGACGCAAAACCAGGCCTGCTCCTCACACATAGGGTAAAATCGGCGAAGAATGATGGACACCAACAGTTTTGACGCTATCGGGATCAGTGTTATTGCCGTTGCATTGTTGCATTAAGGACTGGATTTTAGACTGCGAATTAAGATGGCAAGCTCAACATCCACTTGGGAATCGAGTAGTTTGTAATAGTTTTCCTATGTTTTATAAAAAACGTGTAATCTAAGGGGTGGAAAACTGCGAATCTATGGTCAACCTAACTGCACTCTACCGTGTGCCACTAAAGTTTGGGAATGAGAGAACGACCATATCAGTCTTTGACCATGCATTGGTGGGGTTTTCTTAATAAACTGATTTATGGAAAAATTTTCCATAGAAACTTCATGTTAAGTGCCCATCTGGTCAGATACTTTAGAAGGTCAGTATCAACCTATTACACTTCAGATCGCGTTAGACTGTACATTGTAGGACTTTGCCTACTCAGATCAGTCTCAGCGATACCAGTATACCCCTTTGTTTTACACACATACACCCTCATTCTCATGGTTCCCACGGCATTCATCGAGGAAATAGAGTAAAAGAAACTTATTTCAGTCGGGTCACTACGTACGCTGCATAGTTTTCACCTGTGCATGATTATGCCGAGTACTGAGCATCTTAGGATCAGTTGGATCCAGAAACTTACGAAAACAGTTTGCCTTCTGTAGATGCAAAGGATATCTTTCGGTTTGTGTGACAGCATTTGCAAGTTCCTAATGTTCTGTTATTTTTTCAATTTACTCGACAATTTTACGAACGTTTCCTTTTTTATTTGTGCTACAGTAATGTATAATGTTTGGTCATTCTTTTGGCTTCACTCAACAAGTCTATGAATACTAGAACTTGAACGCATTCTACCAAATCAACGCATCAATTGTTACTGAAAAGATTTGGAATTGCTATACTGCCATTCTGTTTTTGGTAAAATTGATTAGAACGTAATTCACTCACCATTATGTCACTATCTGTGGAAGTTCACTGTCTCTAATGACACTGAAGAATATCATATGGCCATCTTCCTCGGGCTATTTGAACTAGCTCAAATAGTTATCAAGAAGGATTTCCAACTTTCCGGGAACGAGCTCACATCTCAGTGTATGCACTAGGATCCACAGTGATCCTGACTTCCAACATAAAAGGCATAACTATAGAGTACCTAATATTTTCCAGGGGTGTTTTATATGGTGATTCCGTATGGCCAATTCTTCCTTCCACAAACAAAGCAATTCATTCAAGGCGTATGCGATAGCTTAATCTTGTATAACGGTAATCTACTTGACTAACTATAGTCCTGATTTATTTACCAATAGTTTGCTGCTTTTTATTTTCACAAGCGCAGTATAACGGTCTCTGTGCTATCGGAAGTATGTAAATGGAAGAGAACTTATTGTTTCTTTTGGTTGTTCTGTGGAAAAAGCTCTCGAGCATTGACAGTTTTGAAGTGAACATTTGTATTTTGGTAAATTTTATTAAATTTAAGTTTATTGTCAAGTTGCCTGGTTTTAATTTTGTAAGGCTTTTGGTTTCGCTTATTTGGAAAAATTGTAATACTATTTACTTAGGTCAACAATTTTTGAACATTTTTCAATTACTTATAGCAATTTCCTGTTTGCAGCTTCCCAAAGAGTATATATCAATAAAAAAGGGAACGCTTCCTTTGGTCGAAAGCTATTCAGCCTTTGGTGATCCGTTTGGCATCGAGGATACGGGTCTGCATGCTCAACTACAGAAATCCGGCATTGTCACACTGGTTCTGTGTGGAATCGCCACAGACTTCTGTGTTGGTGAGAACAATGCGTTTTCCATTACTTTATGGTAATCTATCCCAGTGGTAGCATTTGAAAACTGCAAAATCACGCTGTGGTAATACCGTTGCATCACATCGATAAATAGAGGTTTATTTCACTTAATGCAGTTATGGGAGTGACGGTTTTATTTCATTATATACTAATTTACATAAAAAAATGTTTCACAAAAAATGCACAAACCCCTACTGTTTTTGAACAACAACATGTTTCCATAAACGTCGCTGATCGGTGGGTGATGGAAAAGACGTATAAAATGATTGCACCATCGATTTTTTTGTCAAACACTTATAATACCGATTGTGAGTAGTAATTTCAAGTCATTTAGGCGGTTGAACCTACCTAGGTGCTTTCACCGGTTACAGTACAAAGATTAACCGATGTCAAGCTGTAACACATATAAATGTACACTCCATTTCAAATCGGTTGTTTCGGTATGTTTTATAAACTCATACTTTTACCTAGATCAGTTCCAATACACAGTCATTTGTTTCTAAATCAAACGACGTACAACTTGACTAAGATTGGTTGGTTGCGCCAATTTGTGTTTAATATCACAACAAACTATAAACTTGAGTGTTACAGTAATATCCGCATGTGCTGAACAACTGTCATGCAGCTGAAAGGCTACCAGAAAATAGGTGGAACGTGAACGACACAAACAACCTGACGAATACATGCCCTATATACCACAACTTTGTAAAGGTTATTTTATCTTTTATGGATTTAGACACCTCCGTAGTTTTATCACTCAATTTAATGCTCTGGTATATATATATATATACGTGCAATTTTCAACCTTCCAAATACTTACGGGAGGATTTTGATTTGAACGTGACACTCAGTAGAAATGATTCAATCACGAGGAACTGATGAAGTGTGATAACGTTGAGATTTCCAAGTGATATTTGGAAGCATTCTTCAATAAACAATAAAATGTGTCCGATTTATTAAAACTGATGGCATTTGTTAGTGGATCAAAAAGTTCTAATTTCTACCTATTTATTCTAATATTGAAACTATGTGCCCAGCAATCCAAGTCCTTATTCTTTAACCATTAACTAACTTTGTGGTGGGGAACGATGAAACCTTTTTGTCAGTTTTCATACAAGTGCTTTTGTTGAGGACATCGATTCCCATTTAGAATAAAATATTAATTTATCTATCTCTTCATACCATGACGACAAATTTGTGAAAGTAGTGCACAAAAGCTGTTTGCTTCACAGTACTTATTCGCACGACTAGGAATTTGGGGCAAGCTGTAGGTATGTATACACATACTATTTGAGTTAACTTCCCACATATACAATTTCAAATTCAATTTGATAGTTACTTTTACAATTCTTTGTACATGTGCACTCGTTCTGTTTCAATCTCACAGCCAGTACAGCGTTGGACGCGATACGCAAAGGTTATCAAGTGATTCTTGTGGAGGACGCAACTGTGGGAATAACAAACGAAGGAATTCGACAGAAACGGTCGGAAATGTTGAAAGCTGGTGTACATATAACTCACGTTGATAAGGTATACATACACCTCAACCGTGTGGATTCGTTAATCATGGTGGAATTTGTTATGCATTTTCTTGTTATACATATGACTGAATGAAGTTCCCTTCCTTTGGGGTTTCTATTGGCTGTAAAGAAACGAATGATGTGATAATGACCGTGAGGAATTCATAAGAACTTCAATCTGTGTGGGTCACGTTAATCAATGAATAAAGTGCATCTAAATTTTACATATAACATAAAGTTAGCTCTTTTTCTTGCAGCCCAAGAGCGTAACTATCGGGGCTCAGATGAAAAGTGGTATGCTATATATTTCTTAATCGAATGTGGCTGTCTTTGAGCCTTGGTGTTTTTAATGAAACAATAATAGGACTAATAGGAGTAAGAGTAAACATCGGTTTCACATTTACCTTACAGTGACTTTCGAGCATTGGAGTGGGATAATTGTTTTTAATTGTGGTCGACAGATACTCATACTTCATCCTCACGCACCACCCTCAGTCCACTCTCAGTTTACCGTACACCCTAAATCAGTAAGCTCTAGTTTCACCCCTGACAGATTTCATCATTTCTTCATGTTGAACGGCCCCGCCGGGGAATTGAAATCAGCACTTGATGACTACCACGTGGTTTTCGAAATAACTAATATTTAAGTGCTCGTAGACTTCACTAAGATCTAAAGCCTACAGTAAATTTTATCTCTATGTTTCAAGTACAAATTATAATTCTTAGCCATAATTCACTTTTGAGGCTGTTGGATAACTCGACTGTCTGTATTGTCAAGCATTTATTCCTCTTTTGTCAAACTGAGCACATAAAAAGTTTGATACGTTTATTTAATTCCGGATAACAAATTTTTCTGCAGTTGTTGCTCAGAGGTTACTGTTATGTGCTGTTCTTCTTCTGTTTTGTGCAATCCATGGTTAGCACCTTGCCTTTAAGTAAATATATAATCAGGTAACTTATACGGTGAAAGTTTGGATTACCCCATTTGGTCTTTACAGACACTAGGTACTAGGGATGATCTTATGTAGGTGTAAAGGCATTTATATGCTATAGAAACGTTTGTGATGACCAACAAGGACACAAAACGAACGCACTGTTGACGAGTACCAAGCAAGACGAAACAGCTGTCCAGTGCTCTTTATCGGTTATCACAAAGATTTCCATTACATTTAAATAGTCAGATATCAATAATTGTGAACTACTCTCAGAAAATTATAGTGAATTTTCATCTGTTACGGTTCGTAGCATTTAACTCACGTGCACACTGTTAAATTATAGTAATAATCCATAAATGAATTAGTTAAGAAAGAAAAGATTTATAAAACAGATATTTTTGAAGAAATTGCATATCCAGAATGCAGGTATATGAGTGGCCCGACAGAATATTACCGGATGCACATACCTGATGAAAGATAGCAAATGAAAAACTGCTCCTTTGCTTCCAGGAGATTGCTCGATTCTTCAGGTAGTATTTATTAAAATATATATATGCATATGCTGCGCAATCGGCAACTGTCTAAAATCAGCCACAAATCGTTATACCTAGTCTTAGTCTGTAGTTCAGTTCAGCTCAGTTTCCACAACCATTACCCATGAACTTTCGTGAGCCGATTTTGGTTGCAGTCTTTTGGCTGCCCGTTTGGGTGAAGCAACAGGAGAAAGACAGAGAGGTTGAAGTAGAGTCAAAAAGAAAGTGGAGAATTTCATTGGAATAAAGCTGCACTGATACTGAGAGGATGTATGAAGCCACTGTTTACGATACTCAGCCATATCACTCAGTGTTTTTAACCCCTGGTTAACACGATCTCGACCCTTCTTGGGCAGCCGGAAGTCACAGTGGTGTCAAAGTCTGTAGAATTCCAAATCATACTTAAATTTAAACAAAGAGAACCGAGAATAAGATATTATATTTGCTTTAGCCAAACTAACACATTATCGCTGTACAACTAACTATTTTCATTAATTACGTTGAACCTGATACAATGTCATGCAGTCGCATTTCTCAAAAGTCTTTATCGCAAATTCGTTTTCCAGTTGATTGATTCATTATAACACTGTATATATCTCCTATTTTAGATACCAGAATTTCTTTCCGGCAAGTTTCTCCCGTTACAACATGTTATACGAGCAATCAGGCAATCAAAATCTTCCCTATTTTCCGACGTGTCAAACTGAGGCTCACAAAACTGACGGCAATCAATCCACTTTTACAATCACTGAGAAATAGAAGGCAAAAAGCTGAAGTATATTTACTCGGAAGAGTGGCATTGTTTTTTTCGATCTCCTGTATGCTGCATCAATTGCTTATGCCGCATGTGGGAAGAGAATAACTCTTGAAATATATGAATTGTATGTTTTTAGCTGTTTTCTTTTATCACCGATGGAATCGACCCAACAAATAGCATACAAACTGAATTCAGTTTACATTCAACCTTGTGGATGACACTGTGTAGCGTTTGTTTATCGTCAGTGACCGAATAGGCGTCAAACGTAAACAAGCATTTTTTACAACTGAAATCGCAATGCTGGTTGGGTTTATGTGATAAAATATAGGTAAAGATAAACGGGGGGTACATTTTCATAAATTAAATAAATACAATCATCAGATGGGTGAAATTAACGTACCTCCATCATGCAGTCATACGATCATACATAATATATAGGAATGTTTGCCGTGAAATGTAAAATAGGTGTGAAGAGCGGATAATCATGTTAGTAAATCGGCTGATAGTGAATGTGTGGACGGTCACTCAGCCATCTTTAGAGTGAAGTAAACTGGAATAGTAGACGACAATTATAAACGATTGATCTATAAAATCGTCAGACAAAAGCGACAAACGCTAATTTAAATCGCACCAGATGATCTGATGTTCACATTTATTGCTAATCATATTTATATTACAATATTCCCCTCACGGCAGATCAACGTCTGGTGACGTAAGCATGCGAACTAATTCCGAAAAGGGATTAACAAGCGACATCTTCATCATGATGAACAAACAGTGATCTAAAACCTGTTTTAGTTTATAAAATTAATTCGAACAGAATGCGATCAAATAATCTAATATAATTGAACTCAGTCTCTTCAATTTCGATCTCATGCATCTTTTCTGAAGGATCCGAAATTATTTCACACAAAAGCCCGAGAATGACATAGGCGGGTATCGGAGGTAAGACAACACATTTACGAACCTACTTGAATGCCGTGTGCAACAGCGTTCATCCCGTAGCTCAACGATCTACATTGTCTTTCAGTCGTCCCTTGGGAATGATACCATGATATCAGTCAAACTGAGCGAGAAAAGAAGTGGATTGAATAATACTGAATAGTTTCAGTTTTGCTATTCTCAAAACTAAATTTGATCGGCTGCCGTATTTATTCATTCTGCAACCGCCCTGGAAGAGGATAATTTAGTTTACACGAACTGCCCCTTTTACTCTCTTCCTAACCAACGAGTGTCTACGAGAATGTTCTTCACTGTGCAATTCTACAGCATAAC